CCCCCAAACCATCAAAACCTTTCAACAGAAATATTTTGTGTGACTTCCTCAAACTCATTGACTCGTGTAAATTTTCTCATTACCCAAATTCTACAATGTAAGAAGCTTTCTCCAGACAAAGTCGCATTGTTCGGAGTGATATTTAACCCAGAACAAATGCAGAAATGAATGTCCCTGGGCAGCCTGTTGGCACTGTTAGGAAGTGAGCGTTTCTTCATAAAATGATACCGTAGCATTCAAGTCTCCTGTGGAGCATCCGTCCTTAAATTATACTGCCATTTATGAACATTCATTACTCGATGAAAAGATAACCGGTAGATGCTTTAAGTTTGTTTCTGGTACTTGAATAGTCTGTGAAGATCTTTTGACAGTCCCCTCCAGAGCAAAGCTCTTGTTTACCAAGTGAAGTACAGCCTGTTTATCAATTGAGCATTGCTTAATTTCACTTACCTCCATAAAAAGGCCTGTTAGAAAAAGCAAAGAGGAGTTATATGTGGAACGAAAGCCCTGTATGCCAATAAAATGGTTCTACAGTTAAGGGAGAAAAAAGGACTCGCAGGTCTAAAACATGGTTCATTTCTTTTCCTCCTGAGGAAGAAATATCATAACTGTTGGTAAATCAAAAACAGAGATTTGACACTCTTCTGTGATCATGCTGCAGTGTTTGTTCCCAAGGTGAGGTACACCACAGGGCCCTTGATTTCAAAGATAAATACTGTACAAATAACGATCCTAGTTGTCTTTCACTCACAGCCAACAGGAGGATGCTTATCAGAACCAGCAGATACACAGTCTGTCGTACGCATTTATTTCCCTATTTCTTTCTGAAATAAGTTGCAGTTTTAGTGTTGTTTTTTAATCTAGCAGCCATTGGTTATCACGTGATGCCATATCAGTTAGAGCTAACTGATAGCAGCAGGGGCTTCTGCTAAGCCTAATGAAACAGTAGCACCCTGCATCGCCCAGAATACTTTCCGAGCCTAAAAACAAAAACAAGTCCAGTGGCACTGCTGCGACCTGATGGCCTTCTGCCAAGCGGTAGGAAGCAAGGTGAAGGCTGGAGGGTGCACGCGTGGCTTGTGTGTTAACTAGGATCCCTGTCGTAATCTGCGACGAAAGAAGCAATTAGCAGCGCACAGGCTTTCCTTAAAAACCTGACTATGTTCTTGATTTCATTTGCATGTGTTTAAAGACCTTACAGATAGAAATACACAGACACGCACATGCACACATATGTGTGTGTGTGTATATATATATATATGCCCCTTTACAGCAGCTGGCTTAGGAAATCACTGCTGCAGGGAGGCTGGTTTATTCAGCGAGGTATCCCGGCGCCCAGGGCACCCGCTGCAGGAAAAGACTGAAAATGGTTTCTTCCCCCCCTCCCTTTTTTTCTTTTTTTTCGGTTGTGATTTGGTTGTGTTCAGTCGTGGCGGTGCCATTTGAAAATCACAGATACCCTTTAAGTGAGATCCAGGGATCTGGCGGTCCTCCGTTGCCCTGATGCTAGTCATCTGCTTCATGTGAATTTAACTTTGAAGAAACCAAGGCGAGCTTATGTGAAAGAAACTACTAAGTGCACTCTGTAATGTTTTCACAAGTGTTTTTATCATGGTAACATCTTGTTTACTTTAGTTGCCTGCCTAAAACTACTTGGAACATGTTAAGAAAACATTTCGAGAAAGCTTCTACAAAGAGGCTTTTGTGGAGCAGCAACTGTGAGGCTGCTCAGCTCACAAAGGTGTTAACTTTCAACCCCTTAAGCACTTCCACATGAAATTCCAGCAACTATGTTTGTGGTTTTGGAAAAACAAAGTGTATATTAAAGAAACCAGGTATATGCTAATACATGTTGAAGTAGGCCGGAAATCATAAATTGTTTCAAACGCATTAATTGCCATCATTTGCATGTCAAAAACGTTTTCAGCAGTGAAATCATCTCCCCTTAGCGCAGCAGCGAGCTTTAATCGCGGAGGTAGCGAGGGCAGAGAAGAGGCTAGTCCCTGTAGGTCTTTATATTTTGAATTCCTGGCAGGGCCCAAGGAAACGCTTGGGCGCGCGGGAGCTGCCGGCCAAAGGTGCTCCAGCCGCAGCCCAGGTGCTGCCCAGGAAGGCGTCCGAGGGGAGCGCGCTGGCGCTCGCGGCTGAAAGAAGCCCCTTTGCTTTCCGAGACTGTGGCGCGCGCGGAGCTGCCGTCCGCGTTTCCGCGGTTGCTTTTACAACGTCCTCGTTAACCTTTCTGACATCGCGCGGAAGTTCAGGACCTTTCCAGTAGGCGCCGTGCGGAGAGAGGTCGGAGTGGCCTAAATACCACAGTGCCCTCTAGTGATACGTGGGGTAGCGGTAGGAAAAGTTTTCGGCAGGTCGCCCGAAGAGAAGGTGGCAAGCACCCCCGGCGCTTCGCTCTCCTGATGAGCAGATGCGAAGCTAGCGAGCTTGAACTAACTCGCGTGATTTCAGTTTTATACGCGTGCATAAATATTTTTAATCTCGTGGTTAG